TACATTCAACACAGGTTTTTTAATCAAATTTGGTCTTCCCTGTTACGGTCCAGGACAGACTGAAATGTCACACAGTCTTCTTTTTCAAAATTGTGGGTTGGGTGTCTAATCCTCAGCCAGGTTATTGTATCTCATTGTCTGTATATTATGTATTGAAACACAATTGGCACTAAGCATGTGCTAAGTTTACTTGTCCTTTATTTACCACTAAGTTTGGAATAATGGGATTTACCTCTTAGGTTTGGCATGCCAGTGGTTGCAAGATTAGCTTTAAAGAATTATGGTAATTTGGAAGGGAGAGTGATCTGTTACAGCTGTTCTTGAGAAAGACTGGTTTGAAGGATACAAATGTGTGTTGTGGCAGTGTTGGGGATGATTGACTCTAAGGTTTGTAAATGAGTTGGTTCATGCTGCAGTATGGGCTTGCTTGGAAGGTTGGAAAGTGAGGAGAGTACACATTCCGATGAAGCTTCAGAAGTGTGTGAAAGAAAACAGTATTGGTTTTAGTACTGTTGTTGTAGTTAACAGTGAATTATCTCTCATGCAGAAATGTTCCTATTTCATAGTTTTGTTTAAAAGCATGGCTAAAGCCTTTTAAGATTGTACCATATTTAAAAATAAATGAAATATGTAAATAATCCCTTCAGTGACACCTACTATTGCTTGATTCAAATAATAATTGCTTTTATCATCACCACCTAACTATTTTGTTTATGCTTTTAGCTTCTTATTATGTCTCATCATTCTACATTGTCTTTTTGGTTTGCAAGTTAGCACTATTAAAGTCCTCATTTTACTTCTGCTTGTTTTACTTAATGTTTCAGGATACCCTTTTTTTCATTTTTCATTTCATAAAATAAGTTATATAGAGTAAAAGAAAGTTATAGATATTACAAATATATAAAATAGTGTCACTTATCCATACATTATATAGCATAACAGATAATCACTACAACATCACAGCAGTCATTCCACCACATTTAAAGTCCACATGTACAGTGCTTCTTATAAATTGTGATATACCACATATTATATAAAGATATATTTGCTCCCTTCTTATGAACTGGTGGTACCTAGCCTTGTACCTTACCCTTATCAACACTCCCTGCTTCCTGACACTCACTCATCCTGGTCACCTAACCCTTTTCCAGACACATATCTCTTAACCTTGAATTAACTTAAAAATGCTCTTATTCAGTCCACCATCATTCCTTCTTTCAAGCTTGTACAACTCTGTTCATTAGCAGGCATACAGCTTTCTCACCGTGTTCAAAGCTTCATCAAATCTGGAGAAATTTTTTCGGTTAGCTGTCCTCGCTTTCACCATGTTTGCAGTTACAGTAATTATTCTGTATTAATATGTATCTAATTATTCTTCATTGTTAACTTGCAAAATTATCATATTTCTGAGGTGATTTTACTTGTACCATGTTTTGGGGCTTTTGTATTTCATTTGTTAATTTATAAGTTCATATAATTATCAGCCCTTTACATTTGCAATATTGATTAGTGACAAGTTTGGTCTGCAATATTTTGTTCATATTTAGTGTGAATTTTGTTTAATAGAAAATGTTCTAAATTTTATACCAAATATAATTACTGTAAAGTTATGACAACCATATATCTAATATCAGTTATGATTAAACGTTCTGTAATATCAGTTATTATGAAAGAATTCTTGATGTGGATGTTATGTTTGCACTGTAGCTCATAACTCCACTCTGCCAATGCTGAGTGACACACCCCGGTACTTTCTGCCAAATTTCTTGTGAGCTGTTCTAGTTATCGAGAATGTTTGTAAGTCATGGCAGAGTCACAAGTTTGGTAAGGTTCACTCTTGATTCAGAAATGAGATTGTTCAAGGAGATTACAATATCAATGATAATGCATTGTACTTTTTAATAGATGCATATACTGTACCTGTCATACTGTTCCTCATCATTCAGTGATTTACCATTGCTTTCCTCCGCCACCACCCTTCTACCATGCCTCTCTTTCTTATTTATTTCTTATTCCTCCTTAACTAATCACTAGTTATTGTCAGAATATACATGTTGTTATATTGGCAATTTTTCTTTCAGAATAGCTTTATCTTAAATAATTGCTTTTTATCTTTCTCTTCCTCCTCTTATTTCTCTGTCCGACTACTTGGACTGGATAGTAGAGCCACAGCCTCGCTTCTTGCAGGTTGGCATTCAATCCCCGACTGTCTAAGTGATTCGGTACCATTCCTCTCCTCTGTCCTACCCCAGATCCTTACTTTCATATCCCTCCCGAGTACTATATTGTCATAATGGCTTAGTGCTTTCTCCTGATAATTACCTTTTCTTCTCTCTCTCTCTCTCTCTCTCTCTCCTTACCCACCTCTCTCCCCCCTGCCCCTCTCCCCCCCTGCCCCCTCCCCACCCACCTGCCCCCCCCTCACTCCCCACCCACCTGCCCCCCCCTGCCTCACTCCCCACCCACCTGCCCCCCCCCTGCCTCTCTCCCCACCCTCCTGCCCCCCCCCCTGCCTCTCTCCCCTGCCTCCTCCCCCCCACCTGCCCCCCCTGCCTCTCTCCCCACCCACCTGCCCCCCCCCTGCCTCTCTCCCCCCACCTGCCCCCCCCCTGCCCCTCCCCACCCACCTGCCCCCCCTGCCCCACTCCCCCCCCACCTGCCCCCCTGCCCCCCCCTGCCTCCCCCACCCACCTGCCCCCCCCTGCCTCTCTCCCCACCCACCTGCCCCCCCCCCCTGCCTCTCTCCCCACCCACCTGCCCCCCCCTGCCCTCCCCTGCCTCTCCCCCTGCCTCACCCCACCCCCTGCCCCCCCCTGCCTCTCTCCCCACCCACCTGCCCCCCCTGCCTCTCTCCCCACCCACCTGCCCCCCCCCCCTGCCTCTCTCCCCCCCACCTGCCTCTCCCCCTCTCCCCACCCACCCCCCCCCTGCCTCTCTCCCCACCCACCTGCCCCCCCTGCCTCTCTCCCCACCCACCTGCCCCCCCCCCCCCTGCCTCTCTCCCCACCCACCTGCCCCCCCCCCCTGCCTCTCTCCCCACCCACCTGCCCCCCCCCTGCCTCTCCCCACCCACCTGCCCCCCCTGCCTCTCTCCCCACCCACCTGCCCCCCCTGCCTCTCTCCCCACCCACCTGCCCCCCCTGCCTCTCTCCCCACCCACCTGCCCCCCCCCTGCCTCACTCCCCACCCACCTGCCCCCCCCCCTGCCTCTCTCCCCACCCACCTGACCCCCCCCTGCCTCTCTCCCCACCCACCTGCCCCCCCTGCCTCTCTCCCCACCCACCTGCCCCCCCCCTGCCTCTCTTCCCACCCACCTGTCCCCCCCTGCCTCTCTCCCCACCCACCTGCCCCCCCCTGCCCCTCTCCCCACCCACCTGCCCCCCCCCTGCCTCTCTCCCCACCCACCTGCCCCCCCCCTGCCTCTCCCCCCACCCACCTGCCCCCCCCCCCTGCCTCTTTCCCCACCCACCTGCCCCCCCCCCCTGCCTCTTTCCCCACCCACCTGCCCCCCCCCCCCTGCCTCTCTCCCCCCCCCTGCCCCCCCTGCCTCCCCCCACCCACCTGCCTCTCTCCCCACCCACCTGCCCCCCCTGCCTCTCTCCCCACCCACCTGCCCCCCCTGCCTCTCTCCCCACCCACCTGCCCCCCCTGCCTCTCTCCCCTCCCACCTGCCCCCCCCCTCTCTGCCCCCCCCCCTCTCTCTCTCCCCCCCACCTGCCCCCCCTGCCTCTCTCCCCACCCACCTGCCCCCCCTGCCTCTCTCCCCCTCCCACCTGCCCCCCCTGCCTCTCTCCCCACCCACCTGCCCCCCCCCCTGCCTCTCTCCCCACCCACCTGCCCCCCCTGCCCCTCTCCCCACCCACCTGCCCCCCCCTGCTTCTCTCCCCTCCCACCTGCCCCCTGCCCTTCTCCCCACCCACCTGCCCCCCCTGCCTCTCTCCCTACCCACCTGCCCCCCTGCCTCCCTACCCACCTGCCCCCTGCCTCTCTGCACACCCACCTCCACCCCCCTGCCTCTCTCCCCACCCACCTACCCCCCCCCCCCCCCCTGCCCCCCGTGCCTCTCCCCACCTACCTGCCCCCTGCCTCTCTCCACACCCACCTGCCTCTTGCCTCTTTTCCTACCCACCTGCCTACTCCTTTCTCTACTCATTTCTTTTGTTATTTCCCACTCGGCTTTTGCCTTCTCCTTTCCACACCATCTGTTCCTTTCTTCTTTTTTCCCCAGCCCCTCTTGTGCTTCTTTCTCCACCTACCTACTTCCTTTGTCCACCATCCTGTCCTTTCCTTCTTTCTCTTCCCAACTTTTTCCTCCCCCACATAATGACTTCTGTTTATCAAATGCTTTTTTTTCCCCCATGGTGCAGCCGTTTTAAGAAATTCCATATTTGTTCACTCATAATACAGTCCTGAAGGCCCTTTCACATTATTTCAAACATTTTTATTCCAAGGTCATCTCTCATATTTCCATATGCTTCAAGCACATTTTAAACTGGCTATTCCTTATGTAACTTAGTTTTTTTTATATTTAGGCTTCCTATATTTTGTCTTTTTCTACACATCCTGACCCCCTCATTCCTCTCACCATTGGAAGAAATGTATACAAATTCTCATTCTTGAATTCAGTATTCACTCATACCTGTACTGTATATACCTGTAATATCCTTCCTGTTTGTGTAGCCAGTATGCTGCTATGCTGCTACTGTATAACAAAACCACTGCTTTGATTATCTCCCTTGCCATACATTTTTAGAATGTATGTATCGTCCTTTTCCTTCTATCCACATGGGGATATTCTACATATGTGGCATGTGTCATGTTGTTATAGTACCTTCACACACACACTGTTGGTGTTTCCTTTTATCTGTCTGCCATTTCAACTGCCTGTCTCGTAGCTTTTCTCTACTGCAGAGACTGCCTTGATTCCTCTACCCTGCCTGTGCTCTCTAGTGCCTGAGTGCTGCTCGTCACTAACCCAACAATTCCTCTCCCTCTTTCAGCAACCTGGCAAACTAAACCTTAAGGCCTATAGCAACGTGACTGATGCCATTGGCAAAATAAACCTCAAAGACGCGGGTCTTCTACACTCTAAACTAACCAAAGGGGGTTCCGTGCACGCACCCCTTGCCACCCCAGAGAACATGGACCTTGGCCCAGATTACGCCGCTGTGAGTACGCTCATTGTCCCGCTCCCAACAGCCGCCACAACTCCCCCTTCCCCCCGACCCCACCAACTCGTACCTCTGTTCCTTTGCTTCTCTTTCCTTTCACTTTCATTCATCTCTATTCATTGTCTTTTATTCGCCTTCAATTGTTTACTCCAGATATTCACACCAGATAGCCTCTGCCTTTCCATTTCGTAGTTTATTCATTGTGCTCGTCTCTGTCCTCTGCCATTATCTTTTGTGTTAACATTTTTCTATTCTTTTGCTCATAAGTTCTCTGGCTGTTAAGAACTTGGTTCAAGTCTGCGTTCCCTCTTTATCATTGTGATGTTTTGCTTAACATTTGATCATCCTTCTAATATATTTTCTTCTGCAGCTTCCTGATATTCCCCTCCCTCTTCATCGCAATCCCTATTTATTCATTTTCTTCCCTAGTCCTCCTCTTTACCTTCCCCTCTTCCATCTCCCACCTTTTCCCCTTTTTTCTTTCTCACCCCCTTCCCCTCCTCTTTTCTTCTCTTTCCTTCTGTTTTTTTTTCCTCTCACCCTTCTCATCTCTCATCACCTCTCCCTAACCTTCTTTTTCTCTTGCTCATCTTATCCTCTTCATTCTCTTCTCTCCTTCTCTTCTCCTCATACATTATTCCTCCTCTTCCTCAACTCTGCTCTCTTCCATTTGTTATCATTCTCCTTTTCATTACCTCCTTTCAAATTATTTTTTAGACTTTGCTTGTCCCATTTATTTTACTTTCTCATTCTCTTTTCCTTCCATCTCTCAGCCTCTTCCTTCCACCTTCACTGCCGCTTCCTCCTCCACTCATTCCTGTTTCCTCCCATTCCTCCCTTTCCTTTTCCCATCCTTTTTTTTTTTTGTTTTTTACTACCCATCTCTTCCACCTAACTTTACACACTTTTGCAGGTTCCTAAATCCCTTCATATCATTCATTATATATATATGTTTTATCATGTAGAGTGCAGTATTTTCTTGAGTTACCTCTTTAGTTATTGTAGATGTTTTTGTTTAGATTTTGGTTGTAACTTTTTAATAACATTCGGTATAATGTAGTTAAAAATGTTGCTCATGAAATCTTTTGAGTGACCTCTGTAAATGGTCAAATTTGTGCACAAAGGCCATATAAAAATGTTGCTGCATATCATATTATTTCCAGATTAACAGACTAATGAATAGTATGTCAGCAGGTGAAGGATGCTGTCCCTGGCTTGTATGGTAGCTTTGAGGCAGGAGACTATGCATATTCCAGAGTGCAAGAGATTCCCCAAGCTGCCGGCTCAAAGACCAGGAGACAGCGGAGGGAGAAGGGACGGCAAGGTTGGTTGTTAGAAGTGTGCTTTTGCGATCAGCTATTTTGAGCCCCAATCAATTCCCATACGTCGTATAACTTGTGGAGAAATTTATGCAAAAAATTTTGCTAAAGACTCGTAATGGCTGGTCGCAGACAGTAGACTCTGGTTAACGTTACCAATAGTTAGTTAATTTATTAGTTAATGTTATGATCCACTTGGTGTTGCCAGCTTGACACAATCAGGGCAGTAGCCAGGGGTGGCCAGTACAGGCTATGGCTCACCCCAGGCCAATCCTCTCACTCATTGGGTTCGTCGTTTTGTTATAAGTTATATTATTACCTTTTGTTGACTTGTCATGATTATTGTCTGTCTGTTGTCACTTGAATTACAGTAAAATTATTGAATATTTTATAATTGCATGGGCAGTGTTCCCTCCCATCTGTTTCCAACCATCCTTGTCCAGTATTGTCCCCCTTCTACATAAGCCATTGGGCCATTTTCTTCAGATGAGCGTGCCTTCCCTCCCCACTTTCCTTAACTTGACATATTGGCCATGTGCAATGAGGCTATAGGTTGGCCTCCTCAAGCTCCATTGTCAGCCACACAATCATTGGGTTAAACAAAAAAAGTGTTGCTTCTTCCATAATTAAGATTTTTACATCTAGTATCAGTTCAGGAAAAGTATGGCATTGTATGGAACTTGAATTTACGTACTTATAATGGTGTTTCCTCTGGACCGAGTGACAAAGAATCAAAATCCAATAAAGAACATTTGAGTGTGCCTTAGAAAAAATCCCCTGGCTATGTCCCTGATCATTACTAATCCAAGATTATTGACCAGTCACATTATAGGGATGAAGGTTTGTGTGTTAATATTAGCTGGAGTCTTCTTGTAGCTCTGTGGTAATGGAAAAGAAAAGGTTCATGTTTTTCTCTGATGGTGAATGATAATTTTATTTCATTTATGTTTTTCTAATGATAAATTTCTAAGCTGAGGCAAATATTGATAACATTTCTGAGCTATCCCACTTGGATGCTTCCTAAGACAAGATCTCTGAAGGGCTCATTGGACAGTATTATGATTGAGAAAGGTGCACAATGGGGAAGAGGAATTGTTTAAATGTTCCCCGTGAGGTGATACTTGTACTAGGCATGCACTGAAGACATGCTTAATCCAACCCAGAGTGACCACATCAAGGTACATAAAAGCACTCATCATGACAAAGACCGGGTTCAGTTAAGAGCCTTGATTTTGTGAGAGGCTATGGAAAGTCAAATGGTTATTGGATGCTTAATAAAACTATATTTTGACAATTAGTACATGTGTGTTTTTTGTGAGTGTGGGTGGAGAATGGGGCAGGGGTGTGTGCATGAGTGAGTGACTCCACCATTAATAGCAATACTACTGCAGTGTTCATGGGAATTAAGGTTAACAGGTGGAAAATAAATACTAACAGTCTATCCATTAACCTAGGGCAGCTACTAATGACATCACAATAAGACTAAAATGGTAATTTGCCCTTAACACTTTAATTGCGATGATGGTCATTCATTGATCCTTGGGTTAATATGGTTATTATCATATGTTCATTTCAGTTATCAACAATCAGTTTTTGTACAAATTATGTAAAAATAAATTTATATATATAGATATATATATTATATATATATATATATATATATATATATATATATATATATATATATATATATATATACATTTCGTTGACCCTAGTCAACATTATCAAAGGCAGAGTACAAGTGGTTATAATTTTAGAGCAGCCAAATATATAGAATCTTGCCCTTTGTCATATTCTAAAAGCAATACTGTATTAAAAAATACGTATTGAGAATCCACTCTCAATACTAACTTATTCGTGGAATACTGTAGTGGCCCCTCCGTTTACGAATTCAATCCGTTCCCAGAGATGGTTCGTAATCCGAAAATTCGCACCTCGAAACAAATTTCCCAATAAAAAATATAAATTGAATTAATCCGTTCCACACTCCCAAAAATATTGACATCAAAATATATTTCCTATCTAATTCACATAAATATTTAGTACTTTATGTACAATTTATAGCTTTCCTTTATTGATGACTCTTGTTGGCGTATGGAAGATGGTGATGAGGGAGGGGGAGGAGAGCTAGAATATGCTGCAAATTATTGTTGATTAGCTCTGGCAAGAGTGTGGATATGGTAAAGAAAAGTAAATAGTGCTTAGCTATTCGTTGGTACTGTATCTGTGCTTTAAATCTTGATATTCTAGTTCACTGCTATACAGGCTTCTGAGATGGAATAGAGTGAATTCCACTTTCTTATCACCTGCACTGCATAGGCACTGACCCATTTTAATTTCTAACTCCACTCTTATCCTCTTGTCATATTATCCCTATGTTGAAAAAGGGTGTTCTCATTTTCCTTCTCCGAGCATCTTGTTTTATTCACCATAATCGTTTGTCCCTATGGACCTTCTCTTGTCAATTTATTTTCTAGTTTGGTCACCAGTAACCTTTCAACACAAGTTAGTCCTCTTATTGCAAATTTGTGGACTTTCTTTATAATTTTTTGTTTGCTTCACAAGATGAGGATTTCATGCTGGTGCTGTGTCTTCTAGATCTGGTCTGCCATATAGTCAGCTGTTTGTATGTTTACATAGTTTGCATATTCTGCTGATTTTATCCTATATGTGTGTTTCTGGTGTAAGTGAGGGTGTTTCATCTACTCTCATATTTTTTTCTTTCCAATTCTTCTAGCTGTCTTCCCTCTTTCAGTCTTTATTACTTTACACTGCATAAGACTGAAATCTAGATGACATTTATCAGCTGACTCCTGCAGCTTGTTTAGGGCCACCTGCTACAACCTACAGTCTTTATCTTTGCTCTTTTCAATAGTTCTGCATCAACTGTGAACATTGATATATCAACCTGTCCTCTCAAATAATACATCGTATTTTGACGCTATAATCCCCAACAGACATAAGAAAGGGGTACTATGAAAAGTAGTGGCTCATAAACAACCATGTTTTCTATGTGTGGGTCATTTAGGATTTGATTCGCACATTTTAGTAGTCCTTATTTTGCCCATTGTCACAACTTAGAGGTTGAGCTGGATGTGTAGGAACTTAGCCCTCGTGGTCATGGGGGCCTGACAGCTGAGTGCACAGCGCTTCGGATTCGTAGACCTGAGGTTCCGCGTTCGATCCTAGGTGGAGGCGGAGACAAATGGGCAAAATGTTTTTTTTACCCTGATGCCCCTGTTACCTAGCAGTAAATAGGTACCTGGGAGTTAGACAGCTGCTACGGGCTGCTTCCTGGGGGGGTGTAACAAAAAGGAGGTCTAGGTCTGGTCTAGGTCTGGTCTAGGACCGGGCCGTAGGGACGCTAAGCCCTGAAATCATCTCAAGATAACCTCAAGGTGGTAGGTTATTTACATAGATCAAAAACAGCAGAGTTCAGAGGACTATGGCTTGAAAGACTCCTGTGATTGTTTTCTGTCAGGTGCTCTATTTCCTAGTCCAGCAACCTTCCAGTTACTCCAGTCTACTTCATTTTAGGAAAATGCAATCTGCTCAGCTCTCTATTTCCTGTGTTGTGATGGGATTTTGATACAGTTCCCACTCATAGATATCATTTAAGAAATAAGTGCTTTATCTCTTATAATGTGTATGAAAACTCATCGCTGATTTGGGTATTGGCTTGAATTCATTATTGCACATGTAGTGTGATGTGAAATGAATGAACGTACAAAGTGCTTCAACATATATTATACAGTATTACAACTACCTGAGGTAATTTTCACTTAAACATTTTGGATACATTCTCTTGTTAATCATATTTTAACGAAAAAAGTGAATATCTACACCATCGTTCAGAGCTGCTGAGAAATATAATTTTTGAGTTACATTTGTAATTCATGAACCATGAGTGGTATACTAGTAATTGCTAGCATTCAGGTGTGGGCATGCATAAAGAAAATATGTAACAAACAAATCACTATTGTAGTGTACTTGGCAACTTAATATTTCCCATACCTGGAATTGAATCATGTTTATTTTACATTAGCTATAAGAGGCATAATTTTTTACATTTGATCATAAACTTCATTTTTTTTCCCATGACAGGTTTAGTTGATTATTAAGAGTTTCATAATTGTACATGCATATGATGCAGTGCATTAATGGTTTAATATTTGGCCTTAAGTGCATTTTTGAATTGATGATGTTTACAATAGGTATAAATGTAAGGTACCATGTTTTTCTCTGGTGTTATGTGAAATAGCATTCCTAAATAAACATGAAGCTGAAATAATAACAATAGCCCAAAAATATTTGGAATGTTATGGGCATGTACTGTATACCACCATCCATGCTCAAGAGATCCAGCAAATGTAAACACTGTACTCTAGAAACAACCTGCCTATGTTAATCCCACTTTGTGAACAATTTGTAACAGCTACAGTGTTTCTATAATATCAGTTTACACAATAGGTAAAGTAATGGTGGTGAAGATGGAGAAGAAACCTGGATGTGAGTTATGGCGGACCATGTGTAAGTGATGACGAGTTGAGTGAGTTGGGGAAGGACGGTAACTAGTGTTGGGATACCTTAGATACTATAGTATCTAAGATACTATGGATACTAGGTTTGGATGGACAAGATAACGGTGCAGCTAGAGAGCTGCATGGAGTGACAATAATGAGCTACTGTGTATGTACACCTGTAAAATGCTGGTGTGGTATGACAAATTAGTGTATTAGAATCAGTATAACTGAATAATCAGAGTAGCATGTGTAAATTGGTTGGTATTAGGGGTTAGTTGGATAGAATATGGAATAAAAATATTCTGTTCTAGGAATGTTTAGTCATGTTAAACAAATGTACACTAATAGAGTGATGGAAAGTGAGCTTTCTTGCAAATTTGTGAGTTAGATGAGGAGGAAAAGGAATGTGAAGATTGCGTCAATCATGAATAGCGAGAGTGAGAAATTGGAAATGACATGCGAACAGAGGACAAGAAGTGGCAGGGAATATGAATCAGTAGAGGTAGTTTATTAAAATATAGTGAATATCTGACAAGTTGTAATGGTGCTTGAAGTAGGGAAAGATTTTGCTGGAGTGTTGTGGTGATGGTTGATCATTGATAACTACCACAACAGTAAAGTGGGAAGTTGGCCAGTGATAATGAAATAAGAAATAATCAAATTTGTGGAATCTCTTCTACTGTTTGATTAGATAGAGACATATCATGCAGAGTTGTGGCTGTAGGAGGTTTTCAGTAAGCATTATGTCATGTATTATATTCGACATTCAAGTGGGATAGGATATGCTCAGTTTTACTTTGTTAAGTTCAACACAAGTCTTAAAACAATAGATTAGCAAAATCATTTATTGTTGATCTGATAGCTTTTAATTGTGAGTTATTTTAATAATGGCATTATATGCAAGTTATTAAACAAAATTTCCTTCAAATTTTGAATACAATATGAAACAAAACTAAAAGCTCTGTGTTTTTAATATTGATCTAATTTTAAGATTCTGTATAGTGTTAGCTTAAAAAAAAAATGGTTGGGCTTAGGTATTGTTGAGTGTTTAGACATCAAGAGAGAGGTGTATACCTTGCAGTATTCAGATCTCAACATATGGTTTTCCTGAGCTATCCTAGTTGGGTGTTCTGTAAGGCAAGCTCGCTGAATATCTCATTTAACCAGGTTTGTCATGTTGGGGCAGAGTGACATTCCACACCAGTACAGTTGGGATGGTTTCAATCACAATTTCTTGTCAATTATGCACAAGTAGAGTTATTCCACACATTATGTAAATGTGTGGAATACATATTGGTAACAAACTTGAAACTGTGAACATTCCCTATAAACATGAACATTACATCCTTCTCTCTGTGCGTGGTGAGTCAGCAAATTGTCACAATAAGTCCACAAACCCATTTTGACTCCTCTGACTTCCATGACTTCCACAATTGGCTCAGGGATGTTATGCTCATGGGGTAAGAAGGCATTTAAGTTCTTGAATGAGTTTGGGGGATTCTCAAAAAAAGACTCTTAAGGAATCAAGCGTGACTAGTTTTCTCTTCCAGCCCCTCTGGTGTGTATTTCACCTTCATCTTGGGTAAATGTGCCACATCCAAGGAGCTGAAGGAAATTTATGAGTTGCAATCTGTGTCATGTTTGTATCTGAAATGACATGTAATATGTAATCCATTTCTTCTATCCCAGTTGTATAGGGAGGGGAGTGATTTATTCTTACTCTGAGAGTCTCTGTGGCCTCCCGTATTGCAGTTATTCTCAGGCGGTGATCTGTGGCTGGAGTTCTCTTCATGTTAGGACTCAGCAATTCATATCTCAAGTTTTGGTAAAATATTTTGACTCGGTGCTTTTGGCAACACTTCCGGATATGTTTGCCTCGGGTGCTGTTCACTACTGCACCACTATTCGAAGAGTGCAGTATAGAGAGTTGCTGTGTTGTGTAATTACCATAATGGCTATCTCTACTTTATAATTATGATTTTCATGACAATAATTGCTTGCATAATCAATAATCTTTAACATATAATTAAAAAACAGATAATTTTCTTGTTGGGTTCAAGGTACATTTCTATCCTCTGGGATGGGCATTTTATCTTCTGAGAATTTCTTTCTTTTCAGACCAGGTTTGGTGGCAGGCTTTTCAAGTACTGTAGTGGGCAATACAGTTCTCAAATTATATAGACTTTATGAGATCCCTGGAAGGGAAATTTTAGCTCTTCTGGTTTAGTCAACTTGCATGATGAGGCTTGTGGCCTGTGGCTCTGCTTGTAAACCTATAGCTCCTTAACCCCATCCACTTGCTGCAGCATCTCAGGACTCCAATCCATACATGCTTGCTGGTAAAGGGTTTGTGAGAGCTGACTCCCTCCACAACCTTTTCCTTCTTCCACAGTCACATAGTAGACGAAAACTCTTCTTTCCTGATGGAAGTCTGCTACTCCAGTATTGAAGTTGTCATCCACAAGCAGTTCCAGAGAACAGACATCACTCTGTGGTATGGGTTGGTAGCTGGTCCCTGCTCTTCATAGTGTGAGGAAAAGTTCTTTCCAGAAATGCTTGAGAATATGGTATGGTTCCCATTTGATCTTGTTTGGGGATTTATTTGCAAACTGGACAGCACACATGAAATTGAAGGAATTTGCCCGTCTCCCTGATCAGTTGGTACTTTTCATTAGTATCAGCTAATGCTTCTTCCAGTCTCATCCCCATATACTGTTCATGTTTGGCACGGCGTGTAACTTTTAATTGAAGAATTGGGTCCAGGCTTCTGAACCTAACCCTGATTTTCTTGAGTTCAGTTCAGCTTCTGCCTCGGTTATTGTTTTGGGCTCCTCCTTCCTCTTGGTTGTTCCCTTATCAGTGGGGAAGTGACTAATTTTTTGTTGGTCTAATGTACTAGTATGAATAGATGCTTTTCACTCCTCCCATTTACAGCTTCTCTTTACTGGAGCCTTTAATCATGAAACAACCTATTGATGAAATTTCATATTTTACTTCCTAGGATCTCTATATTTTCCACTCCCTTTTTTTTCTCTCCCAGCTGTGTTCTGGATGGGTTAAGCTCTTAAGTGTGTAGTGAGTTGTCTGAGGTTATACAACTGCTTTGACAGAAACTGCTGTTTTGTACTTTACCCAGCTCAAACAATTTTCTCTAATACTTTGAATGTGGTAGCTGATTTTTCATAGCATGTCTTGATTGCATGTACTCAGTTTTTATTTGATTCCAGAAGTACTGGACACTTTTGCTGTTGCCAAGTTATTCCTGCAGCTGTTTGAACCAGTGTTCTAGCTAAAATCCATGGCTACCTCTTCCTCTTGAAGGAAGGGGGCTTGTAGTTGGTCTTTTCAGACCTATGCTGGTGGTGGTGTTCTTGGTGAGTCAGTTTTCTATGAAGAGGTGATTATTGTGTCTGCCCTCCTGCAATTGCAGGTGTGTGGAACATCCAGTTTGTGCAGGCTTTGGGCATGGGATAATCTGCCCACCCTAACTGGTTTCTATTTTGACATTGGCTGCCATCCTTTCCCCTGTGTCCTAATGGCTCATATTGCACTCAAGGGCTACCTCCATTTCTCTTCCAGAGAGTGTCTTAGTTTAGCTTGTGCATCATCTACAGTTGGTTCTGGGTTTGTGCCACCTTCTTCTCTGAACTAGTGAGCCTGCTTAGCTGGTTGAACTTTATTAGTGTAGTGTTTTTTTTGGGTCATGTCTGAATGAAAACATTATGCTTTTTACTTGTTACAGGCTTGCTGCATTTGGCCTATATTAACCTTGAGTTTCCGTCAGCAATTTTCCCTGAGTTTTTTTTTTTAAATCCAGTTCTTTGGAAGGAGGCCTCTAGCTCTTTCTCTTGTGCTGTTTGCAGCCACCTCACGTGTGGCCTGGGATTTTTCTTTATTGTCCTCCTTTAGAGTCTGAAGTATTGGTCCACAGTATTGCTATAGGCTCGCATGAACATTTAAAAGTGGTCACGCCCATCTCCTAAGAGACTCTGTCTTTTGTTTCTACTGGTATTGTATCACTTGTTCTGTATCACTTGTTCTGTTTCAGCTGAGCTCAGAAATTAAGCTTCAATTGAATATGAAGGCTACTTTTTTGAGCATGGCATTCAGTTGCTTCCATTCTTCCCTTTGAATCTTTAATTCTCCTATGTGCAAAGTGTGTTCTCTTTGTGTTAGAATATGCTAGGACTTAAAGCCAATTGGAAAACCAACTTTTGGGTCAGAGCTCTATTCGGCAATTCCTGTGAAGCGAAATAAGGCTTGTGATGCGTGTGATTTTTTTACGAGTGTACTTTCTGTGATCACTTTGGTAGGTTTGAGTTTTTACCCGTACATTCCTAGCACCATTATGATCTAACTGGAATATTTTGAAAAGATTGTTGCTGTGCAGGTTCAGAACAACACCTTGCCCTAACTATTGTAAACGTGTTGAATGAGATATTCAGCGAGTTTGTCTTGGGATCATCCAATTGTCATGCTGAAAAAGTAGCTTTTCATATTCACTCAAAGCCTGATTTTTCTCATTCAACAAGAGTGAAATAATCTGTAGATGTTTGCAATTATTTTTATTAATGGGTGACTCCACATAAATATGTTAAAACTGTGTAGGATTAGCTGCCATAAAGGAAGATATTTCTTCTTAGAAATTGAAAGAATTATTTAAATTCAAGATAAGGAATGTGTTCCTATAGAGTTAATGATGTGCATGTCTTAAATTTAATATTCTCCAGGGAAGCCTGGTAAAGACAATTCATGACTTTGAAGGTATTTTTAAAAGCTTCATTATATTTGTTAATATTGCGGAAAAAGAGGCCTCTAGTTATGGTTTGATATTTGTACACATGAGAGAGCTTCCTTCAGTCCTGGTACGAGGTAAGAGGCAAAGATTTTGTGTGTTGGTCACTAAAGAATGATATAAAGTTGTGTGGGTAAAGAGCACATTAGCTGACAATCTGAAACCAGCAGTCTCCAGCGGCAGTGTTTAGAAGCTCCTTTGCTTTGTTTGACACTGCACTATCTTCAAGGCTTCAAAAGGTATTAAGACCAGAGTTGATGGTTTCTTGATGCTGTGACATTGTAGTGATAAAGTAAAATGAATAGGTAATTTTAAAGTAATGGCACATCAGCGCTAACGTTCGGTACGTCACTGTTGTAGCGTACTCGGACTCAGACTCTGAATGGAGTTCCCTTGAGCGGCGTCGTACTGCCGATTCCTACAAAGTCAACCGCAAAGCCGTACCCAAGAGGATGAAAAAGAAGCGTCTCCCGATACCCGTAGCTGCCCCCCGTGTGCCCCCCCTACCCTCCTTCTATGTTGCCGAGGGAGGACCAGGCACTCGCTATTCGGATGAGAGGCTATTGCTCGACCCCTATGAGAAAGGTACCAGAGGTAGCACTGTGTCCAACTCTACTCTACCTCCTCTTCCTCCCTCTTGTGGCAAACAGCAACTATATGGACCCATATAACATAGTTAATAAGGTGCTTAGTCTTAGCTTATGGAAATGGAAATACTATTTTCATTGGCATAATGTCTAAGGGCCTTATTGCTGGTACTTGTCACATTCGGCTGAGTTTTTGTGCTAGATATGACTGCATTTTGTGTTTGAGAAAGATTTTAAATGATAATGTTTGTGCAAGGTATATATTCAGTTGGTCTGAAGTTTTAGAGTCTTATATTTTGTACAATAACTTGTAAATATTTAGCTCAAAAACTGGCCATGTCTTCATTCAGTTGTGGTGTAGCTACATAAGTGGTTTCCTTGCTTTCTGCATTTGTTGCATGTTGTTTTCTCTCTTGCCTGTAGTCTTTGTATCTTGTATATCCCATCTTTGTTGCCCGTTAATGATTCCTTGGGCTTCAGGTGTTTCCAGGTGAGTTAGAGCTTGTTCACATTTAACTTTTGCAGTTTTGTGCGAGGCTTGAGAGGATTTAATTGGGTTAACAAGTTTGGACAATGTTCGTTGCTTATACTTAACCCAGATATCCACTTTTTAAAGACTGTCTGTGTTTGCAAGTTTGAACTTATTGAAAGGTTTGATGATTTTACAATATATGCTTTGCTGAACTTGCCAACTATTCAATTTTCACATCCATTGACTGGTTTCTTTTGAGGGATCTGTGTATATAGATCATTTGGAAGTAAAATGTATGGAAAGCAAAGTCTTGATTACATAAAGCAAGTCAGCTGGTTCTCCAAAATAGTTAAATAGATTGAAGCCATTTGAAAATGCATTGACGAGGTGGAACTTGGCCGGAGTATAAGCAATGGAGCAGCAAGAACAATCACCTCTGGATAAGGTGCTGCTTCATGTAGTTAAAGAGATGATGTGTGTGTGTATGGGTGAGCCTTCTTACTAACCTAGTATGGTTTGTGTCACCAGCTACAGCCTCTACATGAACATTGCTATCTCTAAGCTCTTATGGTATTAATGTCCAGTCAGCATGATCACTGGTTTAAGTGGACTTAAATTGTTGACTCTGCATGACTCAGTCAACATTTTTGCATGATAAGAAGTTTATAAGTTTTGTTAAAATTGTTGAGTTCCCCTTCCCTCTATAAATCAGTACAGTATATTGTTCATTAAATCCTTAGTGATTATTTGGCTTTCTCAGTATGTAGGTATTTAGTTAAAAAAAAAGTCTTGTATGTAAGATTATGTAAAATAAGCTATTCTGTACTGAATGGCTCATTGTTACATGTTTAATAAAAGATGGCGTAATACTGTATTTCTTTAGACAAAATCACTCAATTGAACAAAATATAAATACTTGTAAGAAATCTTTTTAAACAAGTTTGAAGCAAAAACAAAAATTGGAAATTTTATGGGAAATTCTGTAGTAAAATGTTTTTGTTTACTGTAGATGAGATGTTTTTGTTTTTATATTTTTGGCACTGGGACCATCACTTTTCTTGCCTTAGAAATGGTCCTTATAAGAAAGAAGAGCTATAATCACTTAGTGATTAAAATTTTAAGGAATTTTCTGTTTACTGATGAAAGGTATTTCCCTACGACTTAGTGCCAATTATGGAGAAGTGAAGTGTACACTGAATGAAAATTTGTCCAAGGAGATAGTTTCTTACTGGGAATTAGTCTAGTAAAGTAGGATCCAACAAAGGAAAATTGGCTGGATTCACTACAGAAGAACTAGTTGGATAACCCTTCACTACGTCCATTGTCGGTTGGGTGTAATTCAGGGTGGGTGTGGTTAGGTAACTGAGGGCGCGCTGTTGTTATTGTTTCAGTGGTGAGTGGATCAGCCTCAGATGATTCCGAGGCCACCGACAGAGAGGATCCAGCTGCATCGCACTCCAAATATAAACCTCAGAAACGCTCTGTTCAATTTAAAAAGAAGACGGGAGGCAGGGAGGGCGTGGCAGTGCGCCCTCCAGTGGTGCCCCCCCTGCCCCCCACACATCCCCCGCCCCACCCTCCCACCTCCCACCCACGCATGGGGCTGGCTGCCACCCCTCACCACAACCCTCTATCGTACCCCATGGCAGCCCAGCTTCCCCCAGACACCGACTTATTCTCCCCCTCATGTAAGTCATACTCAGTCTTGCCTGCCTGGTCTCTTCTCCTCCTCCTGCCTTTTCTCTTCCTTTATATCTTTATCCCTCTTAATCCTTATCTTTTTATTTTGATTTTTTTCAAATGAAAGTAGATAACATCTCAAATCAGAATCTCGTGGCAGTAAAGGGTCTTTTTGAATGTAGAGCGTCAATTGCAGATGGGATATATATAATCTAATTCTTTTTGATAATGTTTACCTCCCATAAATACAAGCAAAGGTTTCACTCTAAATTTAACATTAGGCACATTGAGCAGAAATGTATATGGTGAAGTTCATGTCACTAAGACTTTGATAACAGGAATGGGATGTTCAGAGCATAATTTGACTTTATATTTAAAATGACATAGATCGATACTCCTGCTATTTAGATACCCTAATTCAGCTACAGTATATACAAAAACTATGCTCATAATATTTGGTTGCAGTTGGAGAGTTGCAGCCTGTCAGGTAAAAGAAAGTATTTGACACACAAGAGACATGTGTGATATACCAGTGTATGGTATACTGTATGTTTGACAAGTGAAATACCACTTTATGATATATCATACACTTGACACTTTCACAACACATACAGGAGATATAATGATGCACAGCATACTCTTCATTTCAAAGTTATAAAACACTGGCTCCCCAAAAACTGATTCCCCAAATTTTATATTAGACAACCTTTGCATATTATGACGTGCAAATTGCAATCTGTACATAGAGATAGCATTGGTTTGAAATTTATATCTGCATCATGCTCCCTGGTAATGTTGCTAGTGCGCTTTAATATCTTGGTGCTCTGCTGTATATTGAATTTTGTCAACCGTTATTGACATGCATAGACAGGTGTCATTATTGATGTTTGCATTTTGTGTGCATTGCCAGGCCTGGTGTGTAGTGCTTGAGTATTGATATCACGACCCTAGATGCTTGCCACTTACCATTCTTTGCTCTCTCCAGATTCAGTCGCTGAAAAACTGATGTTATAACAATTTTCAGCAAGTTGTGTTTCATATTTATTTTTGGCTTTCCATTTTTAGTTCCTTCAAACCCGATTTTTACTCCAAATAATGTTTCAAACTAATTTCTAGTTTGTAAAGTTTTTGTAAAATTTGTAAAGCCTTTATAAAGTTTACAGTATATATTTTGTAACAAAAATTTTTTGAATACAATAGCAAGTGAACAAAGCAAAATATTTGAATGAATAGTCTTTTGAATGATGTAGAATTCTAAACTTGGTATAGTTTAGAATTAACTGTACCAAGTTTAGAATTAACTGCACAATATCTTGATAATGTATATGGTTTGTGAAAGTTCCACATTCCAAGATTATTCAAATTTTATCCATTACAACAAATGTCATTGTCTTTTGGAGTATTTGAATGACCCCTTGGCTGTTATTGGATAGAGGATTGGTACTCATTTGCCCATTTCACCACTGATATCCCTGTAAAACCTAGAGTATTGCATGAAACAGCATCTGGAGGGATTACAAGGTAAAAGCTTCCAAAATTTTCTTAGATTAAATATTAGTTTGCTAAATGTTAAGGCACATCATATTAGTTCAATATACAGTGTGGAATGTTAATATCAGTGCCAGTGTTTGTGCTCTTAAGTGTGATGAAGGTTTGTCTATAGTAAAAGTGCATGGTTTTCTTCCTTGCATTGTCCATTGATGACGTAGCTCACTGTGGAGACATTGCACGTCTCGCCGTTATTGATGCAGGATACACTTGGCCGGGTTGCTGCTGCTTCTTCTTAATCCAACTATTTTATTTATTACCTTCTTTCTTGTACTAACTTCTTTGTTTTGTTGCTTCACTAGAACTATACATTTACCTTTAGGAAATACATGCATATGTATAATTAATATTAATTCATTGTGATTTTGAAATGGCACGTAAAAGTATCGTACGGTGTCTATGTGGAAAGGCTTCGTTCTTATCTTACCCTAAAGCCACGTGCACCATTGCTTATGTTTTCTGCCGCTGCAGTTCTGGACACCTTACTAACCTCTGGTCGTTCAGTTTTTAGCAGCTATTGTATTTATGCATCCCATTGTAGTGTTGTCATAATATAGCCCGACAATAGGACATTGTTCTTTTATCATTGTAGGAGTGTCCCTAGCTCCCTTTGGAGAGATAGATTGGCCTTTTATTTTTAGCCTCTTAATTTAATTTTTTTTTTACGTTTTTAAAAAATTACTCGATTTATTTTGAATGTTAAATAGTGACTCTATAGTTATGTTTATTGTTTTGTTATGTGAAGGATCTACTCATTAATTTTTTAACATGTATTCTTTTATATATAGTGTTTGTATGTAACAAAATTACTTTTTTTTTTTTTTTTTTAATTTTTGGAGCATGATTTAGTAATGTAAAGTGGCACATCGCTTGAACGGACTAAATGGGACCAGTTTACCAAAAATTCTGGTCCAAAGAGAATTTTAGCAGTTATCACCTTTTTGTAGCTACTTCATTATAAAGTTTTAATTTTTTCTCATATGATAGAACACATCCATGCATATACTCTATATACATAACAAAATTATATATAAACAATGCATTTTATATATACTTAAAGAGTGCAAGTATAGACCCATAGCCTCGGAGAAGAAAATAAAGAGTACTTGGAGAAGACCTTGTGGATCCTCACCGAACTCTTTGATATTTTCTTCCCCTAACCCCCCCTATTTTTTTAACATTAGAAGAAAATATAAAAATTTAAGGAAAAATTTAAACTTTATTACCTGAAAAAGGGCTGATTATTTTTAGTTAAATTGTGCAGTCAGAATGTGACTATACAAAATACACTTATGAACAAGCTCATCTAACTATTTATGCTTTGATTTCTTGAGCTTTTATCACTAAACGATCGTCACCAGTTCTTTTAGCGCTTCCATGGCTTGTGTACTCTATTTAAACGTTTCTTCCATGTTAAGATAATGCCCCTTTTTCCTTGTTCAGCCTGAATTCTACTGCTAGTAGACATCTTTTCAACTCACAAATAACAAAATAACCAAAGAAAATGGATGTACATTGCTAAATACCAAAAGATCCTGCCACACAATCACAAGGGAAAAGCACGAGTTTAGGACAGGTCTGGTGACAATAGGGTTATGTCTCTCACGGAAAAGAATCACAAAAAAATATCTTGCACAATTTTTAGTATATATTTTTGTAAATTTTTTGGTAAATTTGTTGTAAAGTAGTTTGAAAAAATTTATATATAATTTTTTTTAGGGGAACCGACTGTGGCTTCCTGAAGCTACTATACTGATATAGTGCCAAACTACTAGGTGCCATCACTCGCAGGGTTCTTATTGGTTTATCGGGGATACCAGGCCAGAACCTGCTCCCTGTGCTGGTGAAATACTTCCTTCGTTTGACCTTCTCCTCCTTTCTTCATGTCTGTAGTTTTTACTACATGTCTGTAGCCATCTCTATGATGGCTGGTTTAATCCTGTCCCACCTGCAGTCTTCTACCTGGTGACAGTATGAGGAAGTCCCTTCTGTTCTTTCTTCGTTGTTCTTCGGTTTCAGAGCAGGTTGTTCTGTCTTTGGCTTTTCCTTGATCAGCATGCCGAATACTGTTGCCTCTTAATGTGCACTGTTAACATAGCCACTCAAGCTTGCACTCAGGGTTGATATCTCTTCAGCCCCGGTTTGCAACTTTTCTCTGTCATTGGTTCTCACTCTTCATTCAGGGACTGTTTTTAAACAACCTCAGCTATAATACAATAGAAGCATTATTTTTGCCTTCTCTAGCTTCCACTTGTCGGGTGGGTGAGCTTCATGCTCTCCTTCGATGCCAGGGTTCTTGTGCCTTTGGCCCTGATGGGTGTTTTATTCATTTGTAGCTGGTACAGTACCTTCTTTTCTAACAAAGAATGAGTCGCTTGGCTTCCAGAGGGGTCCTTTGGTTGTTGACGCTAGGGTCTGCCAGGGATGATCCTCGACTTGAGAATGGTCCAGGACGGACCGAAACGTTGTCGTCCCTTCACCTTATAGTGTGTGGTCTGGTCAACATACTTCAGCCACGTTATTGTGATTCATCGCCTGCATGATCTTGTGCTTTGTCCAGTGATGCCTTTGTACCGTCTTGCCACTGGTTCGGTTTTGGTGGACTCTGTGAGGCTATCAGGTTTCCCTCGTTCCCTGTTCCAGGGCTTGTATATCTCAGGTCATCTGCAGAGTCGTTAACTCTAGCCAGCCTGCAGTCTACCCTCCTGCCTGTGATGTATGCAAATATGCCAACCTATCCTCTTGTTTAGATAGTACTTTTTGTAACTATGTGCACCTTAGCCGGTCGGCTATGGAGCCGGTCGGCCGAGGTTTGGAGCCGGTCGGCCGAGCGGACAGCACGCTGGACTTGTGATCCTGTGGTCCTGGGTTCGATCCCAGGCGCCGGCGAGAAACAATGGGCAGAGTTTCTTTCACCCTATGCCCCTGTTACCTAGCAGTAAATAGGTACCTGGGTGTTAGTCAGCTGTCACGGGCTGCTTCCTGGGGGTGGAGGCCTGGTCGAGGACCGGGCCGCGGGGACACTAAAGCCCCGAAATCATCTCAAGATAACCTCAAGATAACCATAGTTCAAACATTGATGTAATGGACAATTATTAAAATTTGTTACTATTTGCTTTATAGAATCCAAAAAATAAAGCTAAAAACAAACAAAATTAATCCTAAGCCTAGTATTGCACATATATGTACTATATTAGGCCTCAGATAGCGTGTATTAGACCTAGGAAAGTTAGGTTATGTTAGTTTAGGTTGTCAACATAAATACAAAACCTTTTTCAGGTTTGTCCAAATATAATAGTAACTATTTCTACTTTCTAATTGTCCATTGCATCATATGAGAACTAGTAGTAGGCATCCATCAGTCTTAGAAGACTATGGAATTATGCTCTGGTTGTCGGTCTGGTGTGGCCTCTCCAGGGCGCAAAGTCAGGATAGGTTTGATACGGGGGGAAAAGCTGTCATCCTTGCAGCAGGCCCCCTCTCCATGGTGCTGAAAGTCTGCATTGGAAAGGCTAATATGTTTTGGGCTGATATTTGGGCGCTGTGGTTTCCGCAGTCGAACAGGGTCTTGGCAGCCAAGGTACCTTGTTAACATTCCAGGTCCTCAGCAGCCTTGAGTCGTGTGTCACAGCCGTTGGTCTCTTCTTCTTCATACCTGCGGTGCATCCTCCTCCTTGGTAAGTGTCCTTTCTTCCTTCTTCCTGGGTAATTAGCTTTAGGAAGCTGCACAGGGCTCCCCCCAGAAAACCAGTATTGAATGTAATGAAACGCTAATTTCTGGGTGAGACCGTGTGGCTTCCTGACACCCTTTCTTCCCAGGGCGTCAAGTGGGTTTTAGTCATCATAAGAACTGGGGCAGCCAGCTGACCAGGTCTGCCTCCTTCCTCCTCCCAAACAAGGAAAGGGAAAGTGGGGCAAACTAGCTCACGCTAGTTTCACTAATTTTGGATTGTTTGTTTACAGTGTTGGAAGAGTTCTTTTGGCTGTTTTGAGGCTGCGGCATGGTTTTTAACAAAGCCGTGTTTGTTTTTCACTGACTTTCTGGGTGCCTGCCCTTGGTGGTGGCAGACATGAATTAATTTATATCAAATTTTTCATAGTGCCATTTCTCCCTGTGCCTCTGTGAGAGGGGCCAGGTCCTGACTCGTGCTCCCTGGCAGGCCAATAAGAACTCCCCAGTTGATAGCATCTAGTAGTTTGGCAGAGTATCAGTATAGTAGATGGAGGGAGCCACCGGGGCTCACCCAAAAACTGGTGTTTCATTACATTCAACGTTGGTTTTTAATAGTACTGTACAGTATTTACTACTAAAGGTTGGTAATAGTAAAAACTCTTGACAAATATGAAATACAGTATACATATTTTTGTTGTTTAGTAGAGCATGGCTAGTCTACCAAGACAGCTTAATGATGCAGTCACCATATTCCAATTCACTAAAACTTGGTCTCTTAGCCAATTCTTTCCGGTCCACTGTGATCCGTTCGAGCAAGGTTCCACTATAGTCACTGATGAAGTTGTGCCCAACTTGTTCTTTTGGGGGAAAATTTTTTGTATTTTAATAATACAGTACTGAATTTTTTTAGATGAATTTTTTTTTTAGAATACAGTATATTTATCAAACAGTTTAATTAGACTTTGCTATTCGAGAATTTTTGCTTTTCTTGGACAGTTTGATCAGAATAGATAATAAAACATGATCTTTAGCTATAATTTAACCTGGATAGAAAGGATGGAATTATGAAGAAACTTGGACAGAACAATATCCCATATTCATTAAAGGCTGTGACAAGAAAACAAAATGCTTAGGCTGTCAAGAATTAAGCTTCTTGTTGTTGTTTGAATCAAGTTATGAAAATATATGTAATAACTTTCATAAAATGTTGACATGATTTTTTTTTTTTTTTTTTTTTTTTTGTACTAGCTTAAGTGAATGGCTGTTGAAAGTTTATACGCTTTAGTGCAAGTATGTAATAACTTAAAAATGGCCAGGCAATAAAACTCTTAAAACTCTAACGTTCCGACACCCCAGTGACTGCCCAACTGTAAACGTTCTAGATCCCTTTTAGGGAAACTTAAAATGATCATAATCTATTTTTACATTTTTTCAGTTGTCTGTTGGGTTATCACAATAAATGTGGCGTCAAGATTTTTAGAAATTAAATTGCTAGAGTATAGATAAACAACGACTGGTGTATTTATAATAGGCCATGCTTGACGACGCTGAATATATAAAAGTTTATGAGCATTTTAAAATTATTCGTACTGTTCAACACAATTTAAAATAATATATATGTTAATGTGTGCACATAATCAGGTTATATCCATGTGAAATGCCAACATGCATAATCTTCATACCTTTCTGGCAGGAAATATGCAAAGCAAAGTGAAAATATTCAAAAGTAGGGCAATTACTGTCTTGAGTGTGATCTCAAGATGATCTCTGATCTTAAGGTGATCTCTGGATGGTCCCCATGATCAGCTCTTTTGACTGTGCTAAATCAAAATATTTAGAAGTTAAAGATGGATGATCTTTCTTAGCGTTATTGCAACAGTAAAGTGGTAGATGTTAGTGCGCTGCAAAGAAGACAAAAAAACAAATGTCATTACTTCATTTATCATGTCTTTAATGATCGAATGCTTTCATCTATTGCTGTTTTGGAAATGAAGATGTAGCCAGCCATTTTGTTAAAGTATCTGCCTCTTCTGAATCTTATACTATAGTGCCTTGTTTAAAATTGCTTATGATACAGTTAAGCTCCTGCTTATGAATGATTATTCTTGGTACTTGGTACTTACTACGTTGGCAGTGAATGTTGTTAACCATATTTGTGGATAGTGTAGTATATTTTGACGAGTGCTTTCTGGGTATTAACTTCATCTCAATATTCAGCTTGGTTTTTGCATACTAATTTTTTTGGAGAATGTCAAATGTTTTGGTAACTTGATTTATGTGCCCTTGCTCATAATAAATTTTTGTAGCTTGTGTATTTAATTATTGTATTTTTCTTCAGTTTATGCATGCCCATACTGAATCAGTGGTGGTTATTTTTCTAGTGAAGCTGTCAAGTTCTCTCAACGGGAGGTTTTTGAAATATGTGAACAATTTGTATAGATTATTCAGTTTAATCTGCAAAATATAATGTCACTCAGTTCACACATAAATCTACATTTATTATAAGTGCCATCCATCATGCTTTATTTTTGTGCATACAACCTCTACATTTTTATTCCCTATATGAGAAAAGGATTATACAAAGTCCTTTATGAATTAAGTATATTGTTGATGCTAAAATGGTGTCTTCTGTGAGAACTATATAATTGGGCCCAAGGTTATGTCAAAAGGATTCTCGTAATAACACTGTTGAGGCAATATTAGTTAAATAGAAATTGGATGCAGGTCTTCTGATGAAGAATTTTTCCAAACATTCATTACCCTATGGAGGGACCTGGTCGGCCGAGCGGACAGCACGCTGGACTTGTGATCCTGTGGTCCTGGGTTCGATCCCAGGTGCCGGCGAGAAACAATGGGCAGAGTTTCTTTCACCCTATGCCCCTGTTACCTAGCAGTAAAATAGGTACCTGGGTGTTAGTCAGCTGTCACGGGCTGCTTCCTGGGGGTGGAGGCCTGGTCGAGGACCGGGCCGCGGGGACACTAAAGCCCCGAAATTATCTCCAGATACCCTCCCCTTTGTCCCCTTCTACACCTCAAGTTAGTGATGGGTCATTTTCCAGCCTCATGTGAGAGTGGTGACAATTGTGCCCTGTGTCTTAGAGGACACTCTGGACAACAGCTTGGGCATAATAGCTTCCTAAAGCCACACCATTTAGGATTTGCCTTACCTCCTGTTGGCCACATGACTATTGAGGTTTGGGCCAGGTACTTGTACCCCAGGGTCATTGTTTAATGTGGTCATGAGCTCACCTGCTAGTGTGTTGCATGTCTATCTTCTCTGAATTTATTACACATACTCTCTCTCTTATATATATATATATATATATATATATATATATATATATATATATGTTGTACCTAATAGCCAGAACGCACTTCTCAGCCTACTATTCAAGGCCCGATTTGCCTAATAAGCCAAGTTTTCATGAATTAATGTTTTTTCGTCTACCTAACCTACCTAACCTAACCTAACCTAGCTTTTTTTGGCTACCTAACCTAACCTTACCTATAAATATAGGTTAGGTTAGGTTAGGTAGGGTTGGTTAGGTTCGGTCATATATCTTCGTTAATTTTAACTCCAAAAAAAAAAATTGACCTCATACATAGAGAAAAGGGTAGCTTTATCATTTCATAAGAAAAAAATTATAGTAAATATATTAATTCAGGAAAACTTGGCTTATTAGGCAAATCGGGCCTTGAATAGTAGGCTGAGAAGTGAGTTCTGGCTACTAGGTACGACATATATATATATATATATATAATATATATATATAAATTTTTTTGTTTTACAAAATGATTGTTACCAGCTCCATCATTAAACAAAAGGTGCACTATTAGAGTATTGTGCATGTTACATGAATAGTGTGTAAACACAGATAAATGTAGTCATGCTACTTAAATATTCATTATTGCTCTTAATATAGAGTTGCTACAAAGAAATGCAAGTATTTCTTACAGGTATACTTTATAATGTGTGAAATAATAAATCATTTTTGTTGGCTAAAATTAATAGAAGTGTCATTGGAGCTGTTACCATCTTTCCCATTAAGTGTGTTGAGCGTGGTTTAATACTTAGGTATCTTGAACAGCTGGTAATATTTGAGCTTTTCCCCCTCACTCCCACAGTCGCCCCTGGCAAGCTCGAAGGAGATCACATGTACAGGGTAATTCCTGAGGATGACTCCAGCATAGAGGTATCATCTCCTCGTGACCAACAGTCCCCAATCCTGCCACCTGGGGCACCGGCACGCAAAGAAACCGATAAGACTGCTCGCCGCAAGGTATTAGTGATGATCTCTAGACTTGTTGAAATAGAAAATGCAATTACTGGTGCTTGTGGTTTGTTCCAATATTCTCTGTCTGTATCAAAATCACTTAAAAATATGACACAGTGGAACAAAACTCTGATAACTAATAGATATTAAATAATGGATACTTATTATAATGAGCAAAAACAACGGTATGAGTGTTTATTGCAGGTTACTGAACATGACAGCTAAATTGAGGTGATTTTATTTTAAGTCTAAAAGAAGTATGAGAAGTGCAGTTTTAAGGTTTTGTTTCTATTGCAGTATTTTATTTAGTATATACCACACAAATAAATGCTAAGAAAATCACAGTACAGTACATTAAATTTAAATATAAAGACAGAAATGGTAAACTTTGTATGCAAATATTCAAACTTGAAAAAATAGGCAGTAGACAAAGGGGGTTTTAAACTTTGTGGCTGATTAGAGGTTTGTTAGCATTAGGTTTAAACTGTAGTTCTGGAATAAAGACTTGTGGAGAACAGCAGTAAACAGAGCAGAAGGAAATTTGTGAATGATAAGAATTAATGACATTGTGAAGACAATTGTTGAGGTTAAGCTTTGACTGTTGGAGTGGATACTGGTGACACTTGGGAACACTGGCTTGTACAGTGATAGGAGTGATGCACGTGGGACACACTAACACACTGCACTAGTGTTAAATACTATAATGTACTTATGAGAGGCATCCAACTAATAACTTTGCAGAAATATTATAAGATCATGAATAAACATTTTGGTACAATCTAAACATACCTTTTTCCAGCAAGAGAAAATTCGTTCTCGGGAAGAGGCCCGGCAAAGAGAGGAAGAACGTAAGAGAGCCAAGGATGAGGAAAAGATGAAAAAGGCTGCTGAAAAGGAAAAGGTAATTGAAGGATCTTGTTCGTTTCATGGAGAAGCCCAACTATGATTCCCTATTTCAAACCACATTGAGACAGCTACATACATGAAAGTCACATCAACCCTTGTGAGTCCTTTAATAGCCTACTGGAGATCAGAGGTCAAAACCCTGGGGCCAGATTCACGAAAGTACTTACGCAAGCACTTACGAACGTGTACATCTTTCCTCAATCTTTGACGGCTTTGGTTACATTTATTAAACAGTTTACATGCATGAAAATTTCCCATTCAATTGTTGTTATTGTTAAAAACAGCCTCCTGGTGCTTCGGAGCTCATTAACTGTTTAATAATTGTAAACAAAGCCGCCAAAGATTGAGAAAAGATGTACAGGTTCGTAAGTGCTTGCGTAAGTACTTTCGTGAATCTGGCCCCTGGTCTCCTCACAGAGGTGCAGGAAGCAGGGGATTCATGGTCACCTTCACAGAAGAAACTATCCCCTATAAAGGACATGAAGCAAAACAAACAACCCCAAGTTTCACTGAAAGTAGTTAAATAATGCAGTGACTCATAAAATGATCAACCCAATAGCTAGGTCATAACTCCCTTAGTAACAGCTGGTCACTGCCACCTGAGGAGCTGCTGGGTCCCCATGTCAACACTCGTCTAATCTCAGACTTGCCTGACAGCTCCATGAGTTACCAGCTCTTTACGTCCCTGATATTCTAGATAAGTTTTTTGCCATACTTTGGACTTTGTCCTGTGGGGGAGGACTGTCTATTTGGTTGTGTATCATTCCAGTATTTTTGCTTCATGTACATGTGTTTACAAGTCTCAACTATTGTGTGGCTTTTGGAGACTATTCATGGTTCTCTCATGGCTTTCTGGTTTCTGTTTCCTGGTGAAATGGAGAAAGTCTTAGTTGGTCCCAGCCAGGTTTGGACTTAGGTCTGGTATGGCATTCCCATTCAGCTTTCCTTTGCCTGCCATCTGCAGCTCTGCTCTGCCTACAGAATTGCCTCTTGTCTGGTATTGGAGAAGCCCCAGATTACTTGACTGTTGGTCAAGTGCGGTTGTGTAGGAGCTGGAACTTTGCCTGCGTGGTGTTTCCCTTGGGCATGGCTTGGCTTGACAACTTGTTTTCACTCCTCTGGTTCTACCCTTTTTAACATTGCCGGGATCGTTGGGTGTAAGTTTCAGTTGCTCTTCACTGGCTTTCGGTTTTCCAGTTTCCCGTTCCGCCTTTTTTGGATTCAATTCTGTGGCACCTTTTGGAATTTTGTGACCAGCGATCACCAGGCCTCTCGGAGTCTTTGGGCAGGTCCCCTCATTCAGGTAATTACCTAAGTAATTACCTAAGTGTAGTTACAGGATGAGAGCTACGCTCGTGGTGTCCCGTCTTCCCAGCACTCTTTGTCATATAACGCTTTGAAACTACTGACGGTCTTGGCCTCCACCACCTTCTCACTTAACTTGTTCCAACCGTCTACCACTCTATTTGCGAAGGTGAATTTTCTTATATTTCTTCGGCATCTGTGTTTAGCTAGTTTAAATCTATGACCTCTTGTTCTTGAAATTCCAGGTCTCAGGAAGTCTTCCCTGTCGATTTTATCAATTCCTGTAACTATTTTGTATGTAGTGATCATATCACCTCTTTTTCTTCTGTCTTCTAGTTTTGGCATATTTAATGCTTCTAACCTCTCCTCGTAGCTCTTGCCCTTCAGTTCTGGGAGCCACTTAGTAGCATGTCTTTGCACCTTTTCCAGTTTGTTGATGTGCTTCTTAAGATATGGGCACCACACAACAGCTGCATATTCTAGCTTTGGCCTAACAAAAGTCATGAACAATTTCTTTAGTATATCGCCATCCATGTATTTAAATGCAATTCTGAAGTTAGAAAGCATAGCATAGGCTCCTTGCACAATATTCTTTATGTGGTCCTCAGGTGATAGTTTTCTATCTAGAACCACTCCTAGATCTCTTTCTTTATCAGAATTCTTTAAAGATTTCTCACATAATATATAGGTTGTGTGGGGTCTATGTTCTCCTATTCCACATTCCATAACATGACATTTATTAACATTAAATTCCATTTGCCAAGTGGTGCTCCATATACTTATTTTGTCCAGGTCTTCTTGAAGGGCATGACAGTCATCTAAATTTCTTATCCTTCCTATTATCTTAGCATCATCAGCAAACATGTTCATATAATTCTGTATACCAACTGGTAGATCATTTATGTACACAATAAACATCACTGGTGCAAGAACTGAACCCTGTGGTACTCCACTTGTGACATTTCTCCATTCTGATACATTGCCTCTGATTACTGCCCTCATTTTTCTATCAGTCAGAAAATTTTTCATCCATGATAGAAGCTTACCTGTCACCCCTCCAATATTTTCCAGTTTCCAGAACAACCTCTTATGTGGAACTCTGTCGAAAGCCTTTTTTAGGTCCAGATAGATGCAGTCAACCCAACCATCTCTTTCCTGTAATATCTCTGTGGCTCGATCATAGAAACTGAGTAAATTCGATACACAGGATCTTCCAGATCGAAAACCATACTGTCTGTCTGATATTATATCATTTCTCTCTAGGTGTTCTACCCATTTAGTTTTGATTAGTTTTTCCAATACTTTCACTATTACACTTGTCAATGATACAGGTCTATAATTGAGGGGGTCTTCCCTGCTGCCACTTTTGTAGATTGGAACTATGTTAGCCTGTTTCCACCCGTCTGCTACGATTCCTGTACACAGGGATGCCTGAAAGATCAGGTGAAGTGGAATGCTGAGCTCAGATGCACATTCTCTCAGAACCCATGGTGAAACGCCATCTGGGCCAGCTGCTTTGTTCTTACCGAGCTCCTTGAGCATTTTTTCCACTTCGTCTCTAGACACCTCTATGTGTTCTATGTTGTTCTCTGGAATTCTTATTGTATCTGGTTCCCTAAAGATTTCATTTTGTACAAACACACTTTGGAACTTTTCGTTTAGTGTTTCACACATTTCCTTTTCATCTTCCGTGAATCTATTTCCCATTTTCAACCTCTGAATATTATCCTTTACCTGCAATTTGTTGTTTATGAATTTATAGAATAGACCTGGTTCTGTTTTACATTTGTCCGCAATCCCTTTTTCAAAATTTCTTTCTGCCTCTCTCCTCACTGCCGTGTAGTTGTTTCTCGCATCTTTGTATCGCTGGTATGTTTGGGGGTTCGGCCTCTTCCTGTATTGATTCCATTTTTGTGTCTTTCGGTCTCTAGCCCTCTCGCAATTTCTATTGAACCAATCCTGTTTCCTAGTTCTGCATCTCTGTTTTGGTATAAATTTTTTTGTGCCTTTATCATATATTTCACAAAACTTGCCATACATCTCATTCACTTCCTTACCTAGCATCAAGTCTGTCCAATTATACTCACTAAAAAAATTTCTAAGGTCACCATAATGTCCTCTCCTGAAGTCTGGTTTTTCAACTGCTTCAACCTCCTTATTTTCTTCCAGCTTATAATGCATTGCATACTTTATTCCCAAAAAGACATGGTCACTTTTACCCAAGGGAGGAAGGTACTGAATGTCAAATATCTCTTCCTCCTTCCTGGTAAATATCAAATCTAGCATGGAGGGAACGTCCCCTTCCCTCATCCTCGTAGCTTGTTTAACATGTTGATACAAGAATGTTTCCAGGATGAGGTCTACAAATTTACAGGTCCAAAAATCTTCTGTTTTAGCTTCATATGCTTCCCAGTCTATGGATTTCAAGTTGAAGTCACCGACTATCAACAGTCGTGATCTATCGTTATCCGCTCTCGCTATAATCTCTCTCATTATTGTTATAAGACCTTCACGTTTACTATCCAGCTCCTCCTTTGACCACGTGCTGCTTGGCGGTGGACTATATGCATTTATCATCATTAGTTTATCATCCTCATAGCAGATCTCTAGTGCTATTATGTCAACTTCTTGTGGATTGGCAGTCATTATTTCCTTCACCTTTAGGTGTTCTTTTACCAGCACAGCAACGCCGCCGCCTTTCCTAATTTTTCTGTCCCGTCTCCAAATTGAGTAGCCCCTTGGGAATATGACCTCATTTAAAATTACATCTTCAAGTTTTGTCTCCGTGAGTGCAACAATGTCTGGTGTCTGCAGCTGTATTACATCACTTAACTCCAGTATCTTCGATCTCACTCCATCTATGTTGGTGTATGCAATCTTCAGGAACTTGTTCCCCCTCTCCTTATTCTTCACTCCCCCTCTCTCTATTGATTTTGTTGGTTTGCCTTTATGTACCACTTTACAGGTCTGCCTACCCCTATCACTTTGTAGAAAAAAGAATTTATTTCTTCTTCATTCCTGCTCTCATTTAAATGTTTTGCCTCGGCGAGGTTCAGTTTCAGCTTCTCTCTATCTTCTTTTGAAAGATCTCGTCTTAACGACCACCCTTTCCCATCCTCATCCCTTTGCAATTTTCTAGCATTCCTTAGTACTTCTTCCATCTGTTTGGCACCGTTTAGGGTGATCCTCAAAGGTCGATCTTTCCCTTTTACGTACCTGCCTATTCTCCTGTAGTCGCACACATTCTCTCTGTTTGTAAGACCTTCCACGAGGCCAACAATTTTATCTACTACTTTAGCTTCTTCTACAGCTCTTTCTGACCTAGATGTTATCGCCTTTTCTTTGCAGCCAAAAATGATCAGGGACTTACTCCGATCAACTGTGTTTTGCACCAACTTCGGGTTAGATGCCAATTCTTTCCTCACTTCTAGCCTAATGTTTGTTTTATCTTGGTTGCTGCAGTGTTTGACTTCCTTTACTGCTTCTTCTATTTTTTCCTTCTCCTTGGCCACTTGTGCATAAGTGAGTTGCATATCTTTCTTGCACTGTTCTATTCCCTGTGTAACTTCCTCCATCTGTGCTGACAAAAGCTGTTTCTCCTGTTGAATTTCCTTGCCTAACCTATTGTAGTCATTTATGTTTAAATTTACTTTAACTTCTTCCAAAGCTATTTTTAAGAGTTTATTTTCTTCTTCCATGGCTTTGCAATTTGTTTCCAATTGATTCTTATCCTTGCGCAAGTCTTTCACTAAACCCTCAAGACATAAAACTTTGCTATTCAAATGGTCATTACTTTCTTTCAATTTACTAATTATTTCTACATGAGAGTTCACTATAGTATCTAAATTTACCAACTTGTTATGTAGACTACTAATATCAATGCTTTCTTCATTGAATCCCTCAAAATCAAGCTCTGTTTTGTTTTTCCCCTTGCCAGTGGCCATCTTGAATGTTCTTCTCTGCACTGTAAACACTAGGGCAACTTTTTCTCATCCGATTTTTCACTTCCCTTAGCACTTTCCTGTTATCTCACCTATTTTTCAAGAGCACTATACCTTTATGTTCTCTGGGACACCACTCACTACCATCAACCTGTACTACAATACTTAGGATTGTTGAAATATGCTGGAGCTCCTCTGCTGCAAGTGTTGACCCTAGGGGTGTCACCTTTTTCCACAGCACACAGCACGGTACACAGCACAGTCTACTAGTTTATGGCAGTTGATTCCACTGATGATCAAACTATGAAATTTACTGGTCATAGTATGGTAAAAACCACTTCCATCAACATATTCAAGAGCAAAATTATGATAACTGGAATGACAAGAAATTTAAATTCACCAAGTACTAATGGCTTGGATGTGTTTCCCAAGGCATAAACACTCACCACCACCACCACCAACAACAACCATAACAACACTACCCTTCATTACATTCTCTTGATTTATTGTACCAGCATGTACTCATTACACTACCCAGTACAGTAATTATTACAACACCCTGTATTTATAAAACCTCTTGTAGTCATTTCATTCTTTATACTCATTATCTGATTTATTTGTATCATGAAATTAACTCTTGAGATTAATCCACAACAATGTTTTTAGTATTTCTAAATTATTGTGAAGTGGTATCATGAAGGTATTGAATAAGATGTTAATCCTTCTGCTTTGAGCTACTTTGTCTAATCTTTCTGACTGTTCAAACATGCACAATCTTAAGCGACCTAATTGGCACAGGAACGAGAAAAGAAGAAAGCGGCTAAAGGCTCCACCAAGGGTTCCACAAAGGGCCCGCCACAGCCTACATTGGAAGATTTCGTCCAGAGCCCGGAGCGATCGGTGCCCTTGTTCTTAGAGAAGTGTGTGTACTTCATCGAGGTGGAAGGACTAGATTCCGAGGGGATATACCGTGTACCTGGCAACAAGGTTCACGTTGAGCAGTTGACAACCAAATTTAAAGAAGGTAAGATGTGGGTCTGGTTAGGTATTAAGGGGCCAAAATCACATTTATTTTTATTGGTAACATTAAAAACTTCCACTTTTTCTGAAGCTTTATTTACAAAGTATAACCTATAAGATGAACCTCAAGCCTAAGCTTCAGCATTGTAAACTGAAAGGAAACTGAAAAAAAAGGCAACATTTAGAAAATTTCAAGATTATAAAATCTCCAACATTTAAAAAATTACAATATTTAACTAGGAGAATAGAATCTGAAGTAACATTCTAAAACAGGATATTGCATAAAAAATTTTAGTGCCTGAAAAATAAATCGTTTAATGAAACCCATTATTTTGCTCAACCAACACGTATGAACACCTGTAACTTGAAATACAGTTAGAAAATTAAAGTTGCTTCTTTCCAAGTTGTACAGCTATATATGAAGAACATATTATGTAATGTTTATGAAAATTGGTTTATAAATAACAATTACTGGCTAACAGTAATGAGTGGAGTCTCTCGAGGATTGGTACTGGGACCAGTTCTATTTCTAATATACGTAAATGACATGTCTACAGGAGTAGTCTTATATGTCGATGTCACAGATGGTGCAAAATTAATGAGGAGTTGACAGATGAGGATTTTAGGATCCTCCAAGAGAACTTGAACAGGTTGCAGAGATGGTCAGAGAAATGGCTACTGGAGTTTAACACGAGCAAATGTAAAGTTATGGTAATGGGACTAGATGACAGGAGACCAAAGGAACAGTACACAATGAAGGGAAACTACCTACCTGTGACGATTTGAGAAAGAGACCTGGGAGTAGACGTAATACCTAATCTAACTCCTGAGACTCCTATAAACAGGATAGTGACATCAGCATACTCTTCACTGGCAAAAATTAGAACATCATTCGGAAACCTACGTAAGGAGGCCTTTTAGGGCGCTTTACGCTGCCTACATAAGACCAGTCTTGGAGTGTGCCGCCCTGTCGTGGAGTCCCCACCTGAAGAAACACAAGGAAACTGGAAAAGGTTCAAAAGTTTGTGACGAGGCTCGTCCCAGATTTACAAGGGATGGGGTGTAAAGAGCGCCTGAAGGTACTGAACCTGATGACACTAGAAAATAGAAGGGAGAGAGGGGGGATTGATTGGAACATATAAAATACTCAAGGAGATTGACAGAGTGGAAATAGATGAACTGTTCACACTGAATACTAGCAGAACAAGGGGACATGGGTGGACACAGTAAACTCAGATGAGTCACAGAGATGTTAGGAAGTTTCCTTTTAACATGAGAATAGTGGAAAAATGGAATGAACTTAAGAAGCAAGTTGTGGAAGGACACACTATTTATAATTTTAAAACTAAAATATGTAGTATTGTAATGTGTATGTGTTTCATAGGAATTTATGTGCAACAGATAATGCAGTGGACTTTGCTGAGCTGGATATTCCTGTAAATGCAGCAGCAACAGCACTGAAGGACTACCTGAAGCAACTCCCACCCCTCCTTCCACAGATCCAATTGATGGAGCTAACCACTATTGCAAGTGAGTAAGAGAGTTTTTAAGTATTCCTTCTGTTAACTTTGCCATGCACCTTTCATTATTACCTTACTTTTCTGAGGGGAATTCCTTGCGGCTCGCTGAAGCTACCACATTGATATAGTGTCAACGTATTAGGTGCCATCAGTCGCGGAGTTCTTCTTGTCCTACTGGGGACCACGAGCCAGAACCTGCCCACCACCACCACCCCTGAGAGGTGCAGGGAGCAGTGGCTCTATGAAATCTTTATATATATTAAATTTATTCATGTCAGCCACCATCAAGGGAAGACACCCAGAAAGTCGGGAAAACATAACAGACCATTGCTTGGTTGCAAATGAGACCAGCCTCAAGCCTAACAGAAGAACCCAACAATATAAACAAAAGCTAAAAAATTTGTGAAACTAGCGCAAACTAGTTTGCCCCACCTTCCTTCCTCATTAGGGGGAAGCAGACCAGGTAAGCTGCCTGCTCCATCATCAGTTCTTATGCTGATATAGAAAGTGCTGGTTGCATTCTCAGTTTATTCTGGTGCCAGTCACCTGTCTTCAGCTGAGTGGTGTTTGCCTTTGAGGCTGTTCTTTTACACATTTGTATAGCGTGAGGTAGGAGTTTAGTGTGCTTGGAGTTGCATGTGCTCAGGGTTCCCTTCCCTGGGTGCTCCTTAAGTGCTAACCTTGCACTGTCGGGGTTTTCTTCCCTGGTGTGTTTGGGATACACACTCCCTTGGGGGATCTTCTTGCTTGTGGGCAGTCCTTGCCCTTAAAGTAAATCAGTTGTCTTGGATTGTCTGTTTTTCCTCTGGTCGGGAATGTTTATTGGTGGTGGGGCACACTGTGGTTCACACGGCCTAACTGGTGTGCCGAGGTGGGCCTCCAGCTTATGTATCTTGTTGGTGCTAGGAGTCTTCCTGGTTGTTTGTTTCCTGCAGTTTGATCTTAAGGTGTTCCAGGCTTTTAATTCTGTCCCTGTTTGTTTTTGTTTTTCTTATTTTGCCCTTTTCTGCTTGGAAAACTTTCCACTTTACTTTATTAGGTTCTCCTTGGGTTTGGTGCAGTTAACCCCCCTCCCCCCCCCCTTATTGCTCCCTAGACCTCTTTGTTGGCTTTGGGTAGCCAGGGGTGCCTGTCTCCGTCTCTTCGGTGGTTCCCAAATATTTTTGGTCCTGAAATGGGTTTCTTCTCTACCTGTTCATTCTCACCCCGTTCATTCTTGACCTGTCCGGGTTGAACTGGTTCATCCCATGCCCCCTCCTTTTAGATGACCGCATTGTCCAAGGTCTGGCTTGTTCTCGAGCTGGTCTTTACACCTGCCTTTTTGCAGTTCGTACCTCTGTGCTGTGGGGTGATGTCTGGACCCATTTTGAAAGTTCCTGGTCCTAGGACTCATGGGCTTATTGATTTGTTTCCCAGGGTCTGCTATGGAGATGTTCCCCATACCTCTGTTAGGTTCAGAGGCGTTGAGTTGAGTGTCTTCACCTCAGTTCCTCACAATTATTGTGATGCAGTTGGATTCAGGCGTGATCGAATTAATCGTCTCTCTTCTGTGGGTGTCCCAGTTGTTCATAATCCCCAAATGGGATTCTGCAGACCAATGGTACTTCTGACTTTTTAGGAGTGAACAGCTTCTTTCCCTGTCTGACCTTCGGGATGACCATTTGAGCTCAGGCTCACCTTGTGTTGTAGGCAGAATCCTGGATGGTGTCCCTCGACCTCAAAGATGCATCATGGCACATCCCTCTTCACCAAAAGTTCTGGGGATGGCTAGGCTTTCTTGTGGGGCATCAGGCTTCCCACTTCAAAGTTCTGCTCTTCCGCTTGAATCTAGCTCCTTGGTTCTGCCATTTGGTTTGAACCTAGCTCTTTGGTTTTTACCAAATTAGCACGGGTAGTTGTGGCCCGGTTTTGTTTCTTGGTAGTTCATGTCTTGGCCTACCTCGATGACTGACTGGTTTGAACTTCAAGCTAATCTGTGTGTCAGCTCAGCAGGTATCTGGTTCTTTCCCAGCTTGCCAGGTTTGAGTTCCTGATAAACTGGCAAACATTATTGTTGGATTCACCCCAAGTCCTGATCTAGTTATGCTTGGTTTGGGTTTCCTTGTTGGCAAGGATGATGTTCACAAGCTCATAGCTCTGGCCAGTTTTCATTAATATCATAGACAAATATTCAGGCTCCAGGGCTTGGGAGGTATCAAATGGTCTTGGCAGCTTTTGTAGTTGCCATTTTTCTCTTCCCTGGTAAGTCACATGCTTTTCTGTTTTGTCAGTTGTTAGATAGGTTCAGAGAGTCACTAGACATTCCTCCACAAATCCAGCATTGAATATAATGAAACGCCTCTTTCCGCTAGAACCTTGGTGGTTCCCCGACTCCCTCCCCTCCCTACCAGGTGTGTCAGTTCATGGCTTATCAGTTCCGGACTGGCTAATGGCTGGATCACTAGTGCAAATGGTCACTTGTTGATGGCCATGTGCACTAGTGGGTTCCAGCTAGTTTGAGTGATTCAGTAAGTTTGAATTAATCATTTGTGGAGTCATTTGGCTGTTTTGGTGCTTTGTCTTCTATGAACCTCACAGTTACAGTATCTGTATTGCTTCACTTTTTGAATACCTTCTTGGTGTGGATATTCATAACATTCCCCAGCTGTCCGTGCCTGTATTGGAGGCAGGTTCTGCCTTTAGTTGCCAGTAGGCCAAACACAACTCCTATCACTGATGACAACACAATAGTGGGAAGCCTTCTCAGCAAGATAGCTTCAGGGAGCCACTAAGGTACCACCAGAAAGACGTGTTTTATTACATTCCATGCTGGGTTTTTAAAGATAGTTCCACATTAATTTAGCAATATAAAAATATTGTACATAAACATCACCACACTTATATATGTCCTGGTTAGAAGTGATTCTTATTGCACAGTTCTGGAACAAACCACTAAGAAAAGCAATGAAATGTCAAATGTAGTTTCCAACCACAAGATTACCTTGAGCTGATATTTTTTGTGCTTAACGTTATCCTAGGAAGATTACAGTCCTCTAGAACACACTTTTCTAATTCTTAAATTTTATGGTACTTGCAGTCCACAACAGAAAATTTGAGACAAGACTAATTGGTGTTACCTTCCTTGGCACAGGCATCGGAGACCGGAGTTTAAGGCTACTTAGGTTAAAAGAGATGCTGACTGGTCTACCCCGAGTAAACTTTGAGGTCTTAAAGTTTATCTTCCAGCATTTTGTGAGGTTAGAGCATTATGCATCATTACTTCTTTGAGAATTATTGTTAAAGCTGCAATTTGAATTGAAACACTGTTGAACTTGTTATATATACTATGATTTTGTGTATGTGTGTGTGTGTGTAATTACCTAAGTATAATTATCTATATGTGGTTACAGGATGAGAGGTATGCTCGTGGTGTCCCGTCTTCCTGGTACTCTTTCTCATATGACACTTTCAAACTTCTAACAGTTTTGACCTCCACCTTCACCTTCTCACTTAACTTGTTCCAACCATCTACCACTGTTTGCAAAAGAAAACTTTCTAATATTTTTTTGGCACCTTTGTTTCCTTAGTTTTAATTTATAACCTCTTGTTCTTGAAATTGAAGGTTTCAAGAATTCCTCTTTTTCAAATTTGACAATTCTTGTTACCATTTTGTAAGTAGTGATCATGTCCCCTGGCTTCTATATTCTAGCCTTGGCATATTTAATGCCACTAATCCCTCCTCATAGCTCTTGTCCTTCAGTTACAGAAACCATTTAGTTCATGTCTTTTCACCTTTTCAAGTTCAATAATGTCCTTCATAAGATAAGGCCACCATACAATCACTGCATATTCCATCTTTTATCTCACAAAGGTCATGAGCAATTTCTTTAATATTTTGCCATCCATGTACAGTATTTAAAAGGGATTCTAAAGTTTGAGAGTGGAGAAGACATTCCTCACACAGTGTTCTGTATCTCATCCTCAGGTGCCAGGGTTTTGTTTTTGTTTTTATCCAGAATCACCCCTTAATTTCTTCCTTTATCTGAATTTTTTGAAGTATTTTTGCATATTTTGTAGGTTGTGAGGCCAGTTTTCTCCTATTCCATATTCCAGAATGTCACATTTATTCACATTAAATTCCATTTGCCTAGTGTTGCTCAATACACTTATTTTGTCCAGGTCTTCTTGAATGGCATGACAATTGTCGTTAGTTTCTTATCTTCCCTAGTTGCCTGGTATCATCAGCAGCCATCTTCATATCATTTTGTATTCCTTCTGGTAGATAATTTATATAGACAATGAACATTACTGGTGCTAGAACTGAACCCTGTGGTACTCCACTAGTAACATTTCTCCAGTCTGGCACATTGCCTCTGATTACTGCCCTTATTTTTCTGTCAGAAATTTTGTGTGTTGTGTGTGCATTGTGTGTGTTTGTGTTTGATTATAGAATATAATTTAATTTCTTCTATTGTATTACAGAGTTGCAGAGAATTGCAAATTAAATTCCATGGACAGTAAAAATTTGGCCATCTGTTGGTGGCCAACATTGCTGCACACCCTCCAGTTTACAGACATTGCCGAATTTGAATCTCAACGTCCACACATCGAAGACATCATCCAGACCATGATTGATCAGTTCCCTTTCCTATTTCAGGGCAAGGAGGATTATGTCATGGTCTGATATTAAGCTACGTTTTCCTGGTAAACATAACTTAATTTGTTTACACTCAGCTCTATTTTACTAGCTCAGGTCAAAATGTAGCTTTTAATAAACAAAAAAGGTTATGTTTAGCATGAAAACTTAACCCCCTCCTCACTTCCTGCAGCAACACCCTCTGCTGCACACCGTTCCCACATGAGCCAGGAACCTCAGTACCACATGGTGTGACTTGTGGTTATACAGTACCTGGTCACCAGTGGCTCCTGCCACATGCGCCACAACTTAACACACTGTTGGCCACAACTAGATATACTTCATTGACAATTTATGCCATGAACTAGGGTTATTAACCCATAATGGAGAAAATTTTGAAAAGGTGCTGTTAAGTATCAGTTGAATGTTGTGGCCAAGTGGTAGTGTTAGTTGCTCTGAACTGCCTGCCAGTTCAGCAGTGAACAATACCTTGTAATTTTATTTTACACAGAATTGTGTGTTATGTATCATAGGAAAGTCAACCAAAGAAAATTATCTTCCCTGTAGTGGAATGATAACGATTGTGATTAAATCAGGCGGAGTTAGTGGATATTTCAATGAAAGTCAAATTGTTGTATCAGCAATGTTGACTGATTATAGAGTAGAATTTTGGGTCAACTTTCCAGTACATTAATTCTTCTTTACTGTGTGCCAGAACAAAACCACAAACGGTGTATGTGTATGTGCAGATAAAGATACTTGCATCAAATGTGGTTTATTAAGTCAGAGAAGTCAAATCTGCAGTAAGTAATGTTTGGCCACCATGTAACAGTATGTGATTATATTGGGATTTAACATACTTTTTTTCTCTGTAAAGAACAATATGCATTAATACATTCACATGTAGAGTTCCAAAATCTGGTAGCACAATAGAGAAATGTGGGTGCGGTTATGGGCAAGTCCGATGTAATTTTGACATTTGGTGAGAAGGCAGTATTAGGCACTAGTGTAAGAGTGCAGGTGGATAGTCTTAAGGGTTAGCCCCCATGCCAGGCTGGGACTCTAGGCCACACACAGAGCCCATAGTTACAAAGCTCTTCCCACTCCTCTCTCTCTACCCTCCCTAGCTGTGTGCCAACTACCCAACAGAA